AAAAAAATTATTTTTTTTTGTATTCTTTTTGTTATGTGTAACTTAACATTTTTTTTGGGGGGGGGCTTTAATTTTTTTTTCACTAAACTTTATTGCTATAGAGCCCCCCCTTGTGAATGAGTAAGGTGTATAACCATTCAATAAAGGGTTAAACTAAATTGTAAATAAAAACACCAGACTTTTGAAAAAATCCTTTAATTGAAAAAAAACAAAAAAAAAAAACAAAAAAGACATGTTTTTGACAATCCTCCTATTTAAAAAAATTAAATAAAATGGATCCACCGACGTAATCCTAGGGTCAATCATGACGTCCAGCGCTGTCCACGACAACGACGACTCGACTAAACAAAAAAAATTGAAAAAAAACGCCGACCTGTCCATGACGAACTCCCGCCGCAGAATGGCATTCTGACAGATGCCGGCAAAATATAAACAATTGGGCAGAGCTAGCGGTGACAGCTAGTTCGCTCAGCCCAACTGTTTACATTTGTTTGCCACCAAACAGGACTAAGCCGTGTGAGCTATGATTGGGCAAAGTCTGTGGTCAGGTGCATTGCTTTACCCAATCGGGGCTTCACAAGGCACTGCGCACCACTTGTTTGCAAGCTGTGAATTTTCAATGTCAGTGGAGACTAGTTCTTTGTTCAAGGTCATTGTTGCTGCTTCCTGATTGTGTCCCGCTGCATAATGCTTAGCCATTTCATGAAGGCAATACAACTTTTTATTTTCAAACTTAAAATGTCCATGGGCATTAAAGTTTAAAAAAACTTTGCACTTGAAAGGGATAGGTATCCAGAGGCCATGGGTTTTTTTCCCCAGGCTTTAGATTATAGCTTGGGAAACATATTTGATCATGGCAAGAAAAAGGAATTATCGATTAAAACATTGCATAAAGTGTTCAATAGAACCTTGCCAGGCTTTAATGGTACTCACATATTCCCAATACACTTTTTTCAAATATTCACCTTTATCAAAACATATATTAAAAGAATAAGGGTTGTATAATGGCATATTCTTTGTGCATCAATATTGTAATGTGTTAAATAAGATAATATCTCAGGATAATTTACATTACCTGTATGTAATTACATGACCCCTATTATTATTTTAACATAAGTAAAGTGTGAAAATGTGAGTATCAATAAAGTCCAGCAAGGTTCTATTAAACACTTTATGCAATGTTTTATTCGACACCCATGTGTGCCAAATTGCATTTATTTATTGCTGTATGTTGTGTTAAGACAATAACTTAAAATGGGTACTTAAAGGAGCCTCAACACACAAAAAATATTTTTGCACTATTCTTGTCCGACAAAGCACATGACAACACAGCGCATTCATGTTTGCACACTGTGGTGTGCTGAAGGGCAGGTGCATTTCTTTATACTGCATATGTAGGTTAACATTCCATTCATAATAAATGCCAACTCACCATAATGCACATATACAAAGCATTGTGGTAACACATAGTAAAATGTGGGTTTTAAAGCATATCTAAACACAAAAGATTACCAGTCCTCAGCTGCAGTGGCTGTATTAGTTTTATTTTTTCCATGATATGAACATTTCTTCAGCACATACAGAAAATGCAAGATGATCTTACCAGAAATGCAGTGTCCTTGTCTCTTCCTGTGAGCTTGAGGAAACTTACTCACAAAGAAACTTATGAGAAAAGGAGGAGATGAATAAAAGGTCAAATTGTAACAACCATGGCTACTTCATAGATACAGTAGATATGCAAGTGCAACCACCAGGGGTAGAAAGTGTGTTTCTTGTAGGTTTACCGGTTGAAATTAAAAAGGAAAAAACTCCAAAAAAAGAAAACGAATGCAGCTAACACATAAGGACTGGTAATCTGCACTGCAAATACATAACATTTTTGTTTTAGGTAAACTTTAACAGGCGTTACAGCAAGTACATTGTGTGTGAATCAAGCACCTACAACACATACCTGAGGAGTGGTCAAGTGCATGTTTTATTAGAGCATTGTTACTTTTGAGCAGCTGGGGGTTTGAGTGAGGAATTTATAAATCAAGTGCCAATCTCATAAAAAAATTGTGTCACAATTTGTTACTACATCTGATTGTTAGCTTCTGCTTGCTACTGTATGTTATACCTCCCAACTTTCTGAGATGAGCAAGAGGAACACCTTCCAGCACAATGTACTGTAATTTGACAATGGACACACCCCGAAATATGCATACCATTAGGAATTTATATGCCAAAATAATTGTATAAACCCAGAACTGTTGTATTCCACCATTATGTTTACTTTATACTGGTTTTGCAAAATAGCAAATGAGATAACAGATTGATGATTTTAGAGCAGAATACCACTTATGTTACTTATATAGTAAATTTTCATAGATATCTATACATCAAACCAAAATGAGGGATGACTGAGGAAGAAAGGACAGAGGGATTTGGTTGCAAAAGAGGGACAGTCCCTCCAAATGAAGCATAGCTGGGAGGCATGCTGTGTGGCAAAACTGATAAATTCTCTCTCTCTCTAATATTGCGGTGACTTCTTTTGATATTCATTTCAAGCCTCCAGTGCACATATGACCACAAGCAAAAGCTAATGTTGTACATATGCAATGACTAGTGGTCACCACATAATAAACCCAACCCTAGGGGTCCATTTCCAATATTTTGCTTACGGCATGCTTGTATTTTCTTCGGCAATGCTTCATGTTTGCATGCATTTTGCTTCCAGCTTGCTTCAGGTTGTATGCTGGGCCATTAAAAACAGAGTTGTTGCATATGTTATGGAAATGACAAAAGCTTTTTTGATACTAGAGGGAAGTAGTGTCTATTATTAATAATATATGTCAGATATCTATATTGGCAGATCCTAGGATAAGTTTACTGAAATAGTTAAAGACGAATATCCTGAGCAAATTTTTTCTTTACTAATACGGCTTCTTTTTGTAGCAATAAAATTAGTAGCCTTGAGGTGGATGTCTTCTAACCCCTCACTATTGGCGAATGGCGTGCCCAGGTCAATTTATTGCTGTTTAAAGAAAAATTGGTGTACCAACACAGGGGAAGACCTACACAATTCTTTAGAATGTGGAATGTGTGGCTTTCTACACCAGGTTTAGCACCCGATTCTTTAGTACTACAATATATTTTAAGCTAGGAGTTATTATGTAATGCTTAGCTGGTCGATTAAGGTATGTGTATGTATGTACATGTATTTATACATGTATGTATGTATGTGTATATATACGTAACTGTGGGAGACTATTTTTGAGATTATTTTTGGGAGTGAAGATGAAAAATGAAGGAAGGAAATAAGGGGGGGCAGGCCGGGCCTGGGATGAATGTGGAGTGGTTATTAAATAATCAGAAAAATAGAATTATGCTACTTGTATATTTTTATATTTAACATATTGTACCACTTGGAGTATGTTGAATGTGGTTATGTGTATTTTGTCTGTTTGTATAATTGTTAAAAATTGAATAAAGAGATATAAAAAAAAAAAAAGGAGTATGAAACTGAAGGGAATAAATTGCAGGCTGTATGTTGGTGAACTGCAGCCAATGCATAGATGTGAACTCTCCATTTAAATATAATAACAAAAACTTTCCTTGCTGTTTCGGTTTGGTTGAATGGCCACTGGGGTCTTACAGGCACATTTATGTTGATTCAAGTTTGCACGCTGGACCATTAAAACAAGAAATATACATCTCCTACAAACCGGACAGAAACAGTTGCAGGATTCATTTTGCTTAACCACAACCTAGACATAAGCACAGATGGAAACTACTCCATTAGGTACAATGGCACAGATTTTTCATTGCCGTTTCTGTACTTTGTTTCTTTTTACCTAACCGCAAGCAAACAATGGAAAAGGGCCCTAACAAAGTTATAGCTGTGCCACGTCAAGAAAACTGTCTGCTATGAGTGTATAAGGCCTGGTTCACTCCTGGGCGTTTTACAGCGCGTTCCTACGCGCTGTAAAACGCTCAACATGTGAAAACCAATAATTGCCTATGGGCATGGTTCCCACCTGGGCGTATTTCAGCGCGTAGGAACACGCTGAAAAACGCCCTATGCCCAAAGAAGTACAGGAGCTTCTTTGGGGCGTTTTGCAGCGCGTTTCCATTGGTATTCCCGAGTGTGGATCCGGGTTAACAAAGCGTTAACCTTGCCCGCGATCCCCGATGTGTCCTCCGGGGCCTGCCGACTTCCGGGTTCCGTCCCTTGCGAGCGGCCGTGTCGCAGGGGCGTGGAGACGGCGGGAAGTTTGAAAGTGAAAAAAAAATTTTTTAAATAGAGAGCTAAAAAACGCCAAAAAAACTAGCTGAAAAACGAGCAGAGAAAATACGCTCAGGTGTGAACCCAGCCTTAGTGTCTACAGTCTTTTTTTTTTATTAATTCCAAGTGTTTACCGCATTCAGCATATCATTTCCCACTCCCAGATTTTTTCCATTGTGTTAATTGTCACTATTGCAATACTGAGAAATTAATAACATAATCAAACAGCAACATTTCTTTTTCCAGGCAGTACACACACCGACCTTGACTACAGTATTTGAATTTCTCCTCCCAAAATACTTATACACATACTGTTAATCGCTTTCAAGTGTGTGCTACCCAGAAGGATGGGCAGGGCCTGCATATTAATTTCACACTTGAGAGTAATGAATAATTCTAGCTATGACTTTTAAAACATGTGACGGTGTTCATTTAGGAGCACGATGAAAGACACACACTGCTTCTTTAATACTGGGGCAGTTATTTATCACCTTCTCCCTTTGATAAAGTAGAAAAATGCTGGCACGAGAAGTGGCACATGCGGCAGCAGTGTAGGTTGATCAAAGGAACTAATAGAAGACAACCCTTAGATCTTTGGAAAATACATAGTAATCCCGTTAAATGAATTAATGCTTAGCTGTGCCCTTTGGTGCTTTCTCTCTGGGCCAGCTGTAACCAGAGTCGAGGCATTGCCACCTGCTTGACAGACTGGAACTTCTTGGCCCTCTTGACTCACCCAGAAAAGTAAATTGAGGGCGTAGAGCAGACAGCGTAGGCACTTCACAGAGTCCTCTCTGGCCATTGTGCAATCGCGCAGGAGAAAGCCCCATCCTTTCACCACTTCATCCTCTCCAGGGACTACTGTAGATTTGCAGCACTTCAAAAGGGAAAGAGAAGGAAAGAGATCAGCTTGCAAATAGTTTTAGCAAAAGCAAATCCTAGTAAAGGCTATAACTATGTCTTGTAGTACATGAAAGACAAGTGCATTTGTTCAGATGGAGATTGTGCACTGATACTCCAAACCTATATCAGCATCTCCATGTCATATTCAATGCTGTTGTAGAACTACCTTGTTTATTATTTCAAACATTTATTTAAATATGTTCCTTGTATTCAGTTGTTTATCACAAATCTGAGCCATCCATCAAATAATTCCACTAAATAACTAATCTTCAAATACAGTCATAATATTAAATGAGCCACAAACGCACAGAATATGTCATGTTCTTGCTTAGATTTTAAACAAAGCATTCAATTAGAACTATGGGCATAATAAAAATGAACATACAGGTGAAACTCGAATAATTAGAATATCGTGCAAAAGTAATTGCAGTAAGTGCTGCAAAAGGGGCCCAAACCAAGTACTGAGTACATAAGCATGCTTGTACTTTTCAGAGGTCCAATATTGTTCTATGTATAATCCTTGTTTTATTGATTGCATGTAATAATCTACTTTTTTGAGGTTGTGGATTTGGGGTTCTTGGGGTTTTCATGAGCTGTAAGCCATAATCATCACAATTATGACAAATCACGGCTTGAATTATCTTGCTTTGCATGTAATGAGTCTATCTCATATATTAGTTTCACCTTTTAAGTTGCATTAGTGAAATAAATGAACTTTGCACGATATTCTAATTATTCGAGTTTCACCTGTATATGATGCAGTATGTCACTAACATTAACACAGAAGTATTTGTTTTACAAAATCCCCCTGCAATATAGTTTTATTACCTGTTGATCCGGCCAGTGGATCATTTTTTTCCATTTCTTTTAACAGGGTGAGCGTTGTTACCTTTGAACAACGTAGTCTTAGATGGACATGCAACTTTAAACAGACTTTAGGCAAGTGACAAATAAAACTCGAATTCCAATAAACACCAGTTACAGCCTTGGCACAAATGTATATATTTTTCCCCAACTTAAGCTATGCATTCATTTGGTTGATCCACTGCCTGTATGTAGGAGGCGAGGGGTCTATCCGGTATTTGCAAGGCCATTAAAAGGAAAAATCATGGCGAAATGTGCATGTGGTGCAGAGATGCACTGCATATCTTTTCTTTTTTCTTTTGTCCTAATATACACTTTAATAACCAAGCCTAAAAAAAGAAAACCAATGCAGCCACTACACATAAGAATTGGTAAGCTGCAATATATTATATTTGTATATGCTTTAAGTCTATAGCAGGGGTCAAAATTTCAAGTCCTGAACTACTAGCCAGGCCTTAAGAGTTACTCACCACCAGTTGCCCACCTACCCTTACCCTCCCGCGGCCTTAACTCCGCCCCTAAACACACCCTCTTAAATAATCTTATCAATGATACTGTTACAATCTACAGACCTTACTAATCAATTTGTTTTCGACCCGAAGCTCAGTGAAGAGCTCCGGCTGAAAGGAAAGGAGACAGACCAGCAGGAGCAGCTGCTTCTACGAGTCAGGTACGCGGTCTGGGACCGCAAGTCTGACAGGAATCTCCACTCGCCTACACTGCAATTTCCACTCGCCAAATGCGAGCAGTCGAGTGGAAATTGTGAGCCCTGGTCTATAGTATATATGAATATAGTAAAGGAAAAAAACACCTTTAAAACTGAAGTTTAACCTTCTTATATTTTTGC